CGTGTGCTCTTCCGATCTCTAAATATGTATTTTTTAATCACAATTTTGTTATGTATATTCTTTTTCATTCTCTAGTATATGATGCTAATTAATAAAATTTATTGTATTTAAAACAAATTTATTTTAACAATTAAATTGGACCCAGTGAGAAATGGTTTTCAATTCGACGTCGAATCGATGTCGAATTGATGTCGAAATCATCATATTGACGTCAATTCGACATCGATTCGATATCGAATTGGCGATTATTTCTCATTGGGGGAATGGTCAAGAATACATCAAAAATTTATGCAATTTGACATCATTTTGACAAACTAAAATTTGATCTTATTTTTATGTCATTTTGATCTTTCTGTTCTCCTTGGGCAGGATTTCGATTTGTGATCGATGTCAAATCGATTACGCAGTTTGAATCGATCAGAGGTCGACATAGGAGACAAAAAGAAATTGATGTCGATGTCAATTTCGATCCCATTTCGAACCCACTCTTCGACGTCGAATCGACATATTGTTTCTCACTGGGTAGTACCTGTTCTCCACACGACTGAAATCTACATACTGATCGTTCCGGATTTTTTCGTTCCAAAGTTTGTACACCTCGAAACACCTTTCGTAGTCTTCGTACGCTTTCTCGCAAAACCACGCGTACATTTTTCGTTTCGCGTGATGGGGCCACTTACGCACGGGCTCTCGGTTGACTGTGACTCCCTGTCTGCGAAGCGTTCACCAGTTCCGAGTATTCCTAGTTCCTGATCGCGTAAAAACTGCATTGGCGATACGTGTCGCACATCGGTCTCTCCATGCGAATCACGGAGAACGCACAGGACATCGAACTCCTCCCAGCTTATAACCCTTACTCTCTTCATGTTTCGTACGCGCTAATATTTTTTTACGTGCTCTGATTCGTGCACATTGGACACACGCTGCAAGGAATTATCACATACATCCTCACACGGCAATTGGAGCAGTATCAGCCACTTAGCACTTGTTCGTAATCGATTTCGTGCTTCGACACTAGATTCATTCTCCAGAGCTCAGTGTCCCTCAGCTGAATCATGCAGATATGGCGCATAGGGTCAAAGCACCTTCGGTCGAATAGTAGCATTGGATCATGCAATGCTTGGTACGCTAGATCAACGCACGGAGTTCCGCCTGCGACGTATCTCTCACACGTATCTCTTCCTGTGCAACGTTAGATTTTCGCTCTGATCATTAACGACCTGTATCGGACGACAATGTGCCTTCCGATTCATCCTCTACATCAACTTCCACGTCTTCGCGCACTCTATTCGATGAGCCATTTAACACACTCTTTGACCGATTCATTAGACTTCCGAGATACCTTCTGTGACACCGCGCGTTTTTAATGACCTCTTATACCTCTCGCCGCTTCTTTGTCTAAATCATTTGTCATCGCATTTTCGTTGAGCCTAAACAACAGCCGCATATCGGCGCTTCTCTCAACAGCCTCCTCTTCCCCTTATTATTATTATTAACGGTGTAACGTAGCAAAAGGACCGTCGATGTATACGTATATACACGGGAGTCTCGACTCATCATTTTGCTAGAGCGACAAGTTTCAGTTCGTCATTCAGCTGCGAATCGACATGTACCGAACCAAGTGGTCGTCGTCGTCGTCGACCACTGTCACCATCCCCGTTGATGCCATCCGATGACAAAGATATTATCGCGCTGTGCAACCTCCTGCAGAGGTGCATTTTACGAGTAAGTGTAATTAATCTAGAGAGACTATCTCTCTAGAGAGATATCTTTTTTATTCTTTTTATTTATCTGTCATTAGGATCCCCCAGTGTTTTACTGCGCGAACATCAGCGGTGCCGCGAGCAACGGTGCCGCGAGCAGCAACCCTGAACGCAGAGCCATCGAGCGCCGCATCGCGAGACGACGCTGTATTCGAGGAGGCATCTATGTGCCTCCCTTTAAACGCAACATTCGAGGAGGCGTCATACCTTCCCGCAATTTCGAACGCCCCCGCACCTTGAGGCGAAGGGAGGAACAGAAGGCACCACAGGCAATTTCCTATGAAATCAAGGAGACACCGTTCACCTTGGCATTCGCATCCCCCTGGCGTTCGAGGGAACATCTCAGGAGGCGAATGTAACGTTCCCAAACGGAAGACATTTTACTTTACACATATACATTTTATTGTATCACCTTTTTTATAACAACGTCATATTACATATTACGTCATTTTTTTATAATACATTTAATATTTGTAAACATATATATATTTGAACATTTAATCCTTTCCATGGCGGCGCGAGGGAGACCGCGTGCGCGGGAGCGAGAGCGCATTAGGGGCGAGAGCGCGTGCGTACGCATAAGCGAGAACGCGCGGGAGCGAAAGCGCGCTATGTGCGAGGGCGCGTGCGTGGGAGCGAGAACGGATATATATGTAGAAATGTAAAAAAAAAACGTTTTTTTTTTCAAATAGAAAAAAACATGTAAAAAAAACGTATTTTTTTCATTGAAAAAATACAAATTTGGTTTTTTTTCTAATTTCGATGGCACAAGGCACGAGAGCACGATGGCACGATCCTTGTTGAAAACAATCTTCAATTGTTTGAACGGGGATCAGTTCGAAGATCGACGCGACGACGCTCACGTCGCTAAGTGCGAGTGGCACTCGTATACGATATCCGATTGTCAATTTTGTCGATACTCTTTAGTCTTTTATCTTGAGATTGTGTAAATATTCCGTATATCTCAGACCTCTCACCTCAGTATGCCGAAACGTAAAGGTTCAGGGCGTAAACCCGCAAAAGTTAGTTGTTTATTTAAGGATATTCAAAGTACTGGAAAAGTATCTAGGTTAAGTGTACTTTTTGTGGTAAAAAGCTTACAAAAAATGGCTCATGTATGAAAAATCATGTAAAAATATACATAAAATGTCCTAAAAGTGTGAAACAAAAATATGTGGAAACTGATAAAGATTCGAAACTTTCAATTTCTTCTACAGACGATTCTATAGATTATGTCACAGATGCAAGTACTTCAAATATGACAAGTAAGAAACAAGTTCTATCATTTGTTGATAACATGCAGCCAGCTGATCAAAATAAAGCAAAAGAACTATTGGCTAGAGATATTTTTGCTAGTGGTGCTCCCTTAAGCATTGTAGAAAATAATTATTGGTTAAAGTTTTTTAAATTTATGCGGCCTACATTTAAAATACCAAAACGTCATGAACTTTCCGAATCTCTTTTACTGAAAGAATACGAAAAAGTTAATTCTTCAGTAAACGAATAAATTGCAGCGGCAGAATCAGTCGCTCTAATGTGTGATGATTGGAGCAATCTTAGAAACGATTCAATTATTAATTTTGTCGTTACCGTACCATCGCCATTATTATATAAAATTTTAGTAACAGAAAAAGAATCACATACTGGTGAATATATCGCTAGAGAAATAAATTCAGTAATTGAAAAAAATTGGCCCACAAAAAGTTTTTGGGCTTGTCACGGATAACGCAGCAAATATGAAATCTGCGTGGAAAATTTTAAAACAAGAAAATGAAACTACCAACCTTTTTACGTACGGATGTTTTGCCCACTCATTAAATTTATTGTTTAGTGATTTCAAAAAATTACCATCACTAAAAACATTTTTAACTGAAGTTGAAACAATTATAAAAAACATCAAACAATCACATGTGTTTTTGACGACATTCAAAGAAAAACAGAAAGATACTAAAATATCTTTAAAACTACCTGTTGA